TCCCTATGAAATAAAAATAGAAATCTTTTGGACATTTACACCAATGTATAATAAAAATGAAATAAAATCTTAATAAATATTTGTAGGTGGAAAAGCCCTATTTTGGTTTAATATTGGTATACCCTTTTTTTGCAGGCAGGAAACTGTTTCTCCTCATGGCTATGCATTTTGCTTCTTTGTGTGGAGAACATGAAAACATTTCCACCTTTTTGTGGGTATTTTACATTCTTGCAATGAAGTTTTTGAGGGGAAAAAGCAAAGTCATGACCGTTGAAGTTGTTACTGCAGCTGCTTCCATTAGATCCTTTATAACAAGTTTAATTCATCAAGTTCAACTTTAACAAGTACCAGATTGTAGCTTTTGGACTGTCCTCCTTTCTGCCCTCATGCTGTATGTCCATGAAAATGCGTTGCCTGCAGACTTCTGAAGTGAACAAGACACACTGCAGTATCAAGGATGCTTACTCCTCAGATTATGCACTGGCCTTTTTTCTCTTTTATGGAACTTCTTGACCCTGAAGAGTTGACTAAGGAACCTGCCACTTGGAAGATATGAATAAAAGTGCTGCTAAGCCTAACTTGATTAGAAACTTCAAGAACAAGATCCTGAAATTCCTCTTGAGCTTGGTTCATTGATTGCCATAGATATCATCTTGAAAACTTTGTGTGTGAAAGGAGCCTTTAATTTTTGAAGACTTTGCTGGATTAAAAAAGGGCTTCATGAATACCATCCCTAGCACTTTGGTTTACTTGGTGTTCAGAGACACAGCACTTGATATCGCTTGTACTATAGTTGAGGGACAATCAGTTTTTACAACCCTTTTATCTTCAGAGGGGTTACAAATTACTGACTAGGATGAAATTTTGCCTTCATTATTTATTTTTTTCTCTTTTGGATCGCTTTATTTAAAAATTACTTCACGGGTCTGAAATTACCAAAATCTTTGTTTAAAGTTTTATCTGACATTTATAATATATTGCTAACAGGAGAGAGTCAATATTTTGTTTAGAAAAGAGATTTCTGAATGTATAGCAACACATTTTAAAATCAATCTTTAAGTTTGTGATGCAGAAATTGATGTCTTTATTTTTGGAGATCTTGCCCTATTTTTGTAGAGTGGTTACTATGCTGAACTTCTGAGGTTCACTATTGAAAAGAGCCTGCATACAAAAAAGCAAATACTTCTCTCAAACCAGGTAAAGGGACTGATTTTGCAGGTTTGTAATGTAATATAATATACACTGGTTGAAGGCATTTGTGAATTCCAGCTGCAGCTTAATGTTGTGGCTACTTCCAAAGAATGTGCACTGTTACATAAAACAATAAAGGCCTCTAAAATACATAATTTTTCAAGTACTTGGATTCACTTAAGATCTTACTCTTCTTGTTTTCACAGTGCTTTATGTTGATTGATTTTTTTTGGTAAGTAAAGTAACAAGTCTCTATGCTGAGGAGCTTGCAGATTAAGAAGTGCTGCAGAGAAATGTCATTGGGGAAGGGGGTGTCTCTAGATCAGGGATGGGGAACCTTTTTTGTGTTGGGCCACTGACCCACAAAAAAAATCAGTTGGGAGCCACACACAAGTGAAAAGAGAAAAATCTACAAACCCCATAGACCCTGAGAGCAGGAAAAAAGACATCCCCCTCCCCTTGTGCTCCATCTCCATAGCAGAAGGAGAACACTTCAGAGTTTACCTCCAGGGCCAGATGAAATTCCGAGGGCTAGAGCTAAAGGATATTTGAGGGCACCCCTAAAGGCAAAAATGAGGTGTTCAGTATGTGAAATGGAATTGCCAGGGAGCAAGGTGAGTGTGCATGATCTAGGGAAGAGACGGGGTGTGGGAAGTGGCAGGAGATTGGGGCATCTACCTGGGTGGGGGGCACAGATGGCACTGTCCCATATCACTCACTTTGGCTGTTATTTCCAGCCTCATGAGAGAGGCTGGAGCTAGCAAGTGAGCCCACTGTGTGTGGAATGAGTGTGTGGGGAGGGGGGGGGGGAGGGCACAGGAGTTAGGGCAGAGGCTTGGGAATGTGAAGGATACAGAAGTTAAGGTTGGGAGGATGAGGAGGGGGGCTCATGGCAGGTGTGTGTGGGGGGGAGGTAGGAGTCAGGTTAGGGAGTGGGAGGGCTGGCACAGCACCCCACTTCTCCCCAGAGCTGGCAGTATATAGGTGTGTGTGGGGAGGGGGGAGGAGGAAGGCCAACTCTCCATACAGTGAGTATAACTGTTTTATCACACACCTTCCTTTCCTTGCATGGGAATTGTATGCACATCACCAAGTCTTAGCACAACATCCCTATCCCTCCCCAACTTGGCTTTCTGTGTAGATGAGGAAGCTGCATGTCAGTGTGGCAGCTAGGCTTAGCAGATAGGTTTGGAAAAAATACTGGACGCACTTGCTGGGGGAGGGGAGTAGCACACCCAAGGGAGATTGGAGGGTGGGGACGGTGTGGCTGGCCTGGGGCAATCGGGAGGAGAACTGGCCGCTAGGAAGCAGGGGTGGCTGGGAGGGGTCGGGGGAAGCAGGGGTGGGGGGAGAGAATGGGCCGGCAGGGAGCAGGACTGATCCGGGCACATGCAGATCCCGGGGCGCTGTCAGGCCGGTGCCCGGTCCCGGCGAAGCACAGTGATTCCGCCTGCAGCTCCACAAAGCGCTCAGGAGCGGGGCCAGGGCTTCTCCTCCCCAAGCGTCAGACCCACGCAGCCAGGGCTCCCAGCGCCTCCCCCGCCCGCCTGGCGGAGAAACAGGAAATGCCATGTCCGGTATTTTCTGCAATTGCAGCGCGAGGGCCCGAAAGCGGCCCCCGGCTCCCCTACGCGGCCCAGCGAACAGCTCGGGGCCGGGCGCACCGGCAGCGCTGCTGCCTGCCTGGCGGGTTCCCGGCCGCGCCCCGTGCCTGGAGCGCTGAGCGCCGGCTCTAACGCGCACGCGCGGGGACGGGCGGGCATCCGGCCCCCTCCCCCCCTGCGGCTCTCGAGGGGGCGGGGCGCCCGACACGCCCATCCGGCGGCTCTTCCGGCCGCGCAGGCGCAGTGAGCGGCGGGACTTTGGCCGCGGCCGGAGGAGTCGCTCTGCGTCATGGGGCTGCTCGGGCCGATCTGGGCGTTGCTGGCGCTCGCGCTGCTTCCCGTGGGAGCGCGAGGTGAGTGTGGCGGGTGGCCCCCCCCCCCGTTTTCCCGGGGTCCTTCCCCCTTCCTGTCTGTAGCCCCGCCCCCATTCCCCGACTGGCCGCCCGGGGTGCGCCGAGCGGGGCGGGGGCGCCGCGTTCACACGGATCCCCGCCCCGGGCAGGAGCCTCTCCGGAGCGGGCGGGGCCCCGGGCGGCAGCAGGCGCGGCGAGCGACTCCCCCCTGTGGGGCGCGGGCTCTGTGCCTGCCCCGCCCCCTCCTCGAGAGGGCCCAGAAAGGGGGAGAGCGAGATGCTGGTCACTGCTAACTGGGCGTGTTAGATATCGGGTAACTTACTAGTCGTGTAACCGCGTGAAATGTTGGTAGGTACACGACTATTCAGTAATCCCAGGGGTGGGCCTGGCAGCTCCGTGCCCCTCGCCCCCGTCCCACCCCCGCTCCTGCCTCAGTATCAGTTTAAAAACCAGCTCTCTTCACAGACCAGCTGCCTGCCGCCCCACGCTACTGCCTCTGTTACGGCAGCAACAGTGCGGGGTGGCAGCAGCTCCTGTACGTGCGGAATCCAAGCTCCCCACAGACAGAAGCTGTGCCACAGGATGTGAAGCACCCTCTGTCCATGGGGAGCTCAGACTCCCCACTGACAGGGGCTGATACCGCTGCAGACAGAGCTTGTATTGGAAGAGGTAGATCACAAAGAAGAAAAATCAGCTATGTGTTTGTGTAACTGGTATTCTTCAAGACATGCTGCTCGTGTCCATTCAACATTCTTTCTTCCTTCCCCACTGTCAGGATTTCCTGCAAGAAGGAAATGAGGGTGGAAGGGACCTAGAGATGCCCTACATTGTGCTGCATATCCATGCCACTCGAGGGGGCACCTGAGTCAGTTCCTCTACAGATCCTTCTAAGGGAAAATCTGGCATGGGTGCATGTGGCAGGTACATACACCTATATTGAATGGGCATGAGCAACACATCTTGTAGAAAACCTCTTATGGAAATAGGTCTTTTACCATACATGCTCAAGGTGATGTACCTGTGGTAAATAATATACAATTTTAATATTTTGCAGTTTTGTATCCAGCCCATTCAATAAATTAGATTCGAGGCTCTAATGAAAACAAGAAATTTCAGATTGTTCCCATTTGTGGCTTCTGAAACAAAATTCTTATTTTTGAGAAGGTTACTGAATACCTTTCAGAGTTAATGTTTTCCCTTCCTTATCTGTGTCTTTTGCTAGGTGATTGTGGTGTGCCTCCAAGATTCAGTTTTGCTGAGCTGCGTAAGGTAGTGAACGATTCTTCTGTTGGGACTAAACTGAGATACTACTGTCGCTCAGGATACACGCATAATGAAGGAAAGAGTCCTTATGTTACATGTACTGAAAATTCAACATGGTCAGCAGACCCTGAGTTTTGTGTAGGTGAGTATAGTTATTGCATTCCCATTTCAATTGATGTACAAGCCATCTTAACACAGTTAGGAGACTCTCTTGTATTGGGCAAGTGGTTCACAATTCAACACTGGTATCCATAAACATTTTGTAGGCAGTTCATTGTTTCTATTAGTAATAGACTTCTTTTTTTAAAAAAAAGCACAGAACTTCACAGCAAGTTAAATACAATTTTGTTTTTAATTTCAGCCTTCTGCTCTGACAAATCTCAAGTAGGATTAAGCAAGTTGTTATATTACCCAAAAACAAGGAAGAAATGTGGTAAAGGTGTTGAATAGCTAAGCTTTAACACTTTGTGGTTTCTCTAATCATCTTGATTCTCACGATGTCACATCTTTTAACTTCTTTAAAGTGGGTGCTACAGAACACTGGACAATTACAGCTTGCTGCAGCTTAATTAATAGTGTTCATAGTATTTCCTGTTTGGTAGTATAGAAAGCATCACAAATACAGTAGACTTCCAATAATCCGACACTTTTAGGACGTAGGTGGTAACGGATTATCGGATATGCCAGAGTATCGGGAGGTCCTGGTACAGCTGCAGGTCTTAACAGCTGGCTGGGACCCGATCTCCCTCCACCTCCCCTCTCCTTTCCCCCGAGCTGAAGCAAAAGGCTCTTCTCCATGCTGTAACCCAATCCCACTCCTTCCCTTCCCCCCCCATCTTACGTTTGTTCTGGGTACAGCCGGCATGTGTGCTGAGCGGCCGGCTTTTTAATCAGTTGGGTGGGAGCGCTTGACATTTTGATGCCAGAGTATCGGGAGTGCCGGACAATTGGGTGCCGGACTCTTGGAGTTTTACTGTACTTCAATAGAGTAAAACTCGTTGGTGTGGTAAGTGTGTGTCTTTTTTGAAAAATTGTAGTTCTGTCCCTACATTTCGCCCTACTAAGTTCACTGTGCTAAAGATAAATCCACTATGGAATAATAGTTGTTTTACTATTGTTTTACCAGCTGGGAGGGTGGGGCCACAATTGGCGCTGGGAGCCTCTGTTCTTTCCGGCTGGGCACTGGATGGAAGCCTGGTGGCGTCTCCTGTGGTTGTGTGTTGAAGCCGGGCGGTGCGGGGCTTTTTTGTTTGTTTGGCCGATCGTGCCCCGCTTCCTAACAACTCTCTCACCCCCGCCAGGCTTCCGTCCAGCACCCAGCTGAAAAAACAGAAAATACCAGACATTACACATGTCTGGTATTTTTTTTACCTGACAGATGGCGCCAAAACTGGACTGTCCGATAGAATACCGGACAGCTAGCAACCCTAGAATTCAAGCCCATTTTGTCTTGTGTTATCCTCAGTGGTTAAGAAGAGTAGGTTATTTCTGATGTCCCTCCTCCTTGTAACAAACTTTTATGTACTTGAGAACTTATGTCCCCTCTCACTCTTTTCTAGACTAAGCAAAACCAGTTTTTGCAGTCTTCCCTCATAGGTCATTTTCTAGACTTTTAGTCATTTTTGTTGCTCTTCTCTAGACTTTCTCCTGTGTCTCCACATCTTTCTTGAAATGTGGCACCCAGACCTGGATGCAGTACTCCAGTTGAGGCCTAATCAGCATGGATTACAGCAGAAGAATAACTTGTCATGTCTTGCTTACAACACTTCTGCCCAAATATCCTAAAGTGATGTTCGGTTTTTGGAACAATGTCACAGTGTTGACACACATTTTGTTTGTCGTCCACTGTGACCCTGGCATCCCTTTCTTCAGTATCTTGAAATTATTGTGCCTGGGAGTGAGAGCATGTTAACTAGTGTATAGTTACCTACCTCATTGTGCTTACCCTTTTTAATACTGGTACAAGATCAGCATTTTTCTATTCTTCTAGAATTTCCTGGTACAGGAAATTCTCTGGTCCAGCAACACGTGTGGTCTGAGGTGTGGTGAGTCATAGTGGCGTGAGAGCAATCCAGGAGGGGATGGGCTGAAGTAGTGGGATGGAGCAGAGACTGGCACTGGCAGCAGCCTCTGGCAACCCTCAGTAGTGGGGCTGGAGCAAGCAGCAGCCCCTGGTAGCTCCCAATAGCCCGTGGCGCGGGGACCAGATCAGGGCAGCCTCTGGCAGTGCAGGATTGGGCCAATGACGTCCGTGGCAGCACAGGGCTGGACCCAGAGCTCATGGCAGCAGGATCAGGAGTGGGACTGGCGTCATCACCAATAACACATGGCAGCATGGGGCTGGAGCCCTGGACAGCCTACAGAAAGTTCAGGTTGCCACGGGGCTGGGTCAAGAGACTTGGCAGCGCTGGGCCAGAACCTGTGATAGCCTGCGGCAGTGCGGGCTGCTGGAGCCAGACATGCAGCCTGGCAGGCAGTCTGGCTGGGGTAGCAGCAGCAGGGCTAGCAACCCAACAGGCAGCCTGTCAGGGGCTGGAGGTAGTCCATTCCACACCCTCTCCTCAACCTCTGGGAGCTGCATCATGGAGCCTTCTCTAGTCCAGGAAATTGCTGGTTCAGGACTGGTCAGGTCCTGAGGGTGCCGGATAAGAGATGTCCAGGCTGTGTTCTAAAGATTTGTTTGGCCAGTCTTTTAGGATACTTGAAAAGTTTGGGATAACTTGCATCCATTTTAACAATGTTTATTCCCAGGAGATGTAGGTGAACTTGCTCCTTGATTACTAATAGACACGAACATGTTTCATCATCTCACGCAATGAGACAATATTGGCACGCTTCTGTCCAAATACAAAACAGAGATATTAACTGATCGCTTCTGCCTTGTCTGCATGAGAATTAAATATTTTACCATCTCTAGCATATGTTTTACCATTACACACTGTGGTATCCTCATTGTATAATCCAGACTATTGAGAATCTGTCAGTCTTACCCTCTAACCAGGGGAACTCTTTACAGTGCTTTGTTGCTGTAGCCTCCATTCTGGACTGCTCACAAACAGCCTTCAGCCTTCAGGTCACTCTCAGTTAAGTGTCAGTGTTTGCTACAGCCAGCCAGTCACACGTTGGCTCTCACCAGCCTCAGTGACTAACACACTTCTCGTCTGTATGTTTTGGGGGTCCTCCCCACCCACCCACTCCAGAAATGTGGCAGTCTCCTGGACAATCCAAATTCACACAGAGCCCATATTTTTTGTCACCCAAAAAGAGATTCATTAACACTTCAATTTAAACACACTGGATTAGATCAAACAAGTGTAAAAGCTACAAAGAGATTTTAAGTGAATACAAGTACCTAGGCATAAGTCAGAAATGGTTACAAGAGAAATCAAGATAAAGCTCAGCTGGTGCCCAAGTTAACCAACTGTGGTAAGAAAAACTTCATTTTGAATTCACCACATGCTCTCAGCAGTCTTAGGTGGACGTTCCCTTTTTCAGCTTAATGGCTGCTTCCTTTGTCCCTTCTAATGCAGTGATTCGCTGGGCGCAGGGAGAGGGAGCTACGATGGTTTCTAGTGTTTGTCCCTCCCTTTAAAAGTGTCATTTCTAACCCCTGGGAAAACATTCCTAGGAGGTATGTTAATGGTTAACCGGAGGAGCCTGGAGCAGCCCACCCACCCTCTGCAGGCTGAGATCAGCTTGAGCCCTGTGGGGCCCTCTGCGGATGGTGGTGGGCCTGGCTCCGGCACTGCATGGGCAGTGCCACTCAGGGGCTGTTCCAGCCAGCCCAGATGGCAGCAGGCCCAGGCCCAGTGCTCTCTGACTGTGGCGGAGAGGTGACTCCAGTCCGCCCACTCCATTTTAACTACTTAAACTTAATGATTTAGCAGGATTTCATATCCCTAATTCCCAGCTGACTATTTGATTAGTCGATAAGGATGCCTCTGCCTTTGAAGTGTAGCAGCGGTCCCCTTCTCCCTTCTCTCTCCCCCTGCCACTTGCTGCCTTGTTTGAGAGGCAGCAAGGGGGGATGAGCAACTAGTTGACTAATGTGGGATGTATACCCGGCGTACAAGACGACCCCCGATTTTTGGGGAATGTTTTTTAACATCAGAGGTCGTCTTGTACGCCGGAATATACGGTAAGCTACAAAGAGATTTTAAGTGAATACAAGTACCGAGGCATAAGTCAGAAATGGTTACAAGAGAAATCAAGATAAAGCTCAGCTGGTGCCCAAGTTAACCAACTGTGGTAAGAAAAACTTCATTTTGAATTCACCACATGCTCTCAGCAGTCTTAGGTGGACGTTCCCTTTTTCAGCTTAATGGCTGCTTCCTTTGTCCCTTCTAATGCAGTGATTCGCTGGGCACAGGGAGAGGGAGCTGCGATTGCTTCTAGTGTTTGTTCCTCTCTTTAATAGTGTCATTTCTACCCCTGGGAAAACATTCCTAGGAGGTATGTTAATGGTTAGCTGTAGGAGACTGGTGCAGCCCACCCACCCTCTGCAGGCCGGGATCTGCTCCAGCCCTCGTGGGGCCCTCTGTGGATGGCAAGGGGTCTGGGCCCAGCACTCCACGGATAGGGCCTCTCAGGGACTGCTCCAGCAGCAGGCGCGGTCCAGCGCAGTCTGACATTGGTGGAGCGGTGACTCCCGTCCGCCCACTCCATTTAACCACTTAAACTTAATGTTTTAACAGGATTTTACATCCCAATTCCCAGCTGACATTCTGGAGACAGTGAATGGGGAAAGATTTTTTCTATGGCTTTTTCTCACTTTTTTGTTTTTTGATTTTTGACTGTTACTGCTTAATGGCAAATAAAGCAGAGCAGAGATTCCTTGAAGGGAGACTGTTTTGCCAATTTCTGCTGTGGTTTGCAATGTTATATAGATTACTTTTATACATTTGCTTAGGGCATTGCCACACATTTTAGCAGGAAGATATTCACCAGTAAATTATCAACTTTTAGATGATCTACCACAAGGCATACTTTGTAAAACGATCATTATAGCACTCTTTGGAGTGTGAATACGGATGTATTGTATTCTTCCAAGATGTCTGATTAGGGATGTTGAATTTAGATTAATTGGCTAATTCAGTAGTCGATGGAATTTTCATCGACTATTTGATTAGTTGGTAAGGATGCCTCCGCCTTTGAGGTATAGCAACGGACCCTCTCAACCCCACCCGCCCGCGTTGTTCTGATAGAAGCAGCAAGGGGGATGAGCCACTAGTTGACTAATATGTCCGCTATCCGATAAGAGGTTGCTCATCGGCTAATCGACTAGTTGTTCACACCCTTATTTCTTATTGTTCTTAATTAACCTTAAATCTTCTCTTTATCTGTAAACATCCAGTTGTGACTTTTTCATTCATGTCTTCAGCTTTTGGTGCTGAGACCGTTGTCTTTGATTTGCCATGGTATTCACTACGTTAAGAGTTGCAAGTCAGCATATCTTCCCCCCCCCTTTTTTTTCCTCTTAAGATAATGGGTTAACGCTAGTACTACTCTTGTTCTCTTCTAGGAAAACCATGTAGACCATTAGAAGTAGAAAACGGCAGAGTTGAATTCACCAATCTCCAGTTTGGTGCAACAGTCAACTTCTCCTGTGATGACGGGTGAGTGCCAAATTGGTGATTTTGGCTGATTAACAGAGCCTAGAGTTGTGTGAAACTGCTGATGTCTGGTAAAACGAGGCTAGAAAGCCTACTTTAACAGCAAGAGTATAAGTGGGTGCTGTGCCATGAATCTGTAGCTATGGGCTGAGTCCTGGTGAAGAATTACAGCTGTGACTTTTTTTTTTGCCAATGGAGTAAAAGAAGGGAGCCATCCAGCTACAGCTGTCATTCAGTGGGAGATGGGAAGCTTAGCTTGCTCAGGCTCTTTTGAAAATCCTAACCTAGAGGCCTCAGGAGACCATCCAGCAGATGTGAGGTCATGAGAGAGTGAGTGTCCCACCTCAGGGGTTATGCGGTGCTCACTGACTCGTGCCATCTCTCCCTTGTTGCAGAGCTTTCTGTCTGGGAGCTAGTGGCTGAATGTTTCCCGTATGAGGTAGCACCAGGTAGAAGCAGATGTCTTCCTGCTCCATGAATTCAAATCTTTATCCCTCCATTATAGATGTCAGTATTAGCAGGGCTCGCCGAGTGGCAGTGAGCCCTGCTCGCCAGCCACGTGGTTCTGCGCAAGCGTGGATCGTTCCATGCTGGGTCCTCCAGGGTGTAATCTACTCGTCATGGGCAGGCCTGAGTATTGGTATCAAGATGGGAAAACAGTGAAGTGAGAGATACTGAAATAATCGTGGCAAGTGATCTACATTCTCATGCTACAGAGGAAAGAGCGGGAAATGTCAATGTCATTGCCAGTTGGATCTGGGGGAGAATTTTTGCCAACTGTACCTACTCCTAGACCCTAAGGGAGAACCCACAAACTCAGCACTCTCTCAAATAAAGCTGGTTGCCTCCACAAATATTATTGGGTGACTGTTCCTAAACCTCACCCTTCGGATAGATAAAAATGGAGTTTCCAGCCTGCAGTTGTTCCTGGCCTATTTTTACTGGTTCCTGTGGCAGAACTGTAGTTTGTTTAAACAGGCCATCGCCCTCCCTGCTACTTGTCTGGATTGCATTGCATGGGCTCACAAATGACGTGGATGCAGGTGTTGTGCAGAGTTTAGATTTTCAGTATCCCATATATAGGGGTCTTGTCCAGGCATCAGAGATTGTAATACCAAGGTATGTATGGGGTGGGGGAGATGCCAAGGCCCACTCTCAATTATATGGATCCTGGGGCGGTGAGGTAATTCCCTGAGATTGGGCTGGGTCCCCAGGCCTCTCAGAGGTGGGAATGAAATCCATTGTCCTGTAGATGGTCATTAACCTGCCGTCTGAACAAAGTGGGTTTGACCCACAGAAGTGTCTGAGCTCCTATTATAGGACTTGCTGGATTTCTGTGCGGTAGCCTAGACGGGCCTCAGGTTTAGGAATTGTTCAGGCCTATGAGTTGTCTGGGTTTGAAGAGCAGTGATTAGATCATGGATAGTAAAAATGCTTGAGTTTTAAATATTGAAAAGGGACGTGATGAAGTAGTCACAGCTCAGGGAAGCTGTCTTGTCTACCGTTACGCATGTCGGCAGATTCTTTTTGAGTGTAATTCTGTTTTACAACATAGCAGCAGCATGGCCAAAATCTATTGCTGTGCTCTTCGGTCTTCCCTGCCTCCACAGGTGATTGAAGGGAGAGAACTTGGAGAAATGAACGTAATCAAATGCTTAGCGCATTCTGTAGTAAAGACCAAGGGTCAGTTTTGCCCGTATATTTCCACTTCTTGTACTGGTTTAGCTGGACGTTGAGCTAACTGGACTTGGAAATGCAGTACTTCTGGCTGCCCACCACTGGCAGCGCTGGCAAAAGCAGGAGAAAAGGTAACAAGAGCTGCTTGAGCTGAGACAATGTGACACAACTGTACATTCAGAGAGGAGGCTTTTAGTGCTTACTAGAGTTGTTGCATGATTAACCTAGTTAATCTTTCAATTAGTAATGGACTATAATAGTCTTGTGGATAAGGGACAAGCGGTGGATGTGGTATACCTAGACTTTAGTAAAGCATTTGCTATGGTCTCGCATGACCTTCTTATCAATAAACTAGGGAAAATACAATCTAGATGGGGCTACTATAAGCTGGCTGCATAACTGACTGGATAACCGTTCTTAGAGTAGTTATTAATGGTTCGCAGTCATGCTAGAAGGGCATAACAAGTAGTGTTCCCCAGGGGTCTGTTTTTGGACCTGTTCTGTTCAATATCTTCATCACGGATTTAGATATTGGCATAGAGAGTACAATTATTAAATTTGCAGATGATACTAAGCTGTTAAGAGTTGCAAATGCTTTGGAGGATAGGGTCATGTTTCAGCCACCATTCCATAGGACGTGTCTTTGTGGCTTTTTTGGTGGTTTGTGTTCTATAGTTTACGCATCAGACTGTTCCTTGTTTAAAATTTCTGAAAGCATGTTCCACTCTTTGTCCCTCAGTTTTTTGGTAGGCACTTAAGATTCTTAAACCTTGAATCAAGTGCTGTAGCTATCTTTAGAGATTTCAGGTTGATATCTTCTTTACTTTTTTGTCAGATTGCAGTGCAAGTGGTCTTAAAATGAGCAACATGTGCAAAGTTGTCCTCTGAGATTGCTGTAACATGAAATATGTGACAGAGCGTGGGTGAGAAACAGAGCAGGAGAAATATATTCTTTTCCCCTAAGGAATTGTCAAATCTTTAAATAATACTTTTATTTTTAACAAGCCTCATCAGCACACTCTTTTAGGATGGTAGCTGAAGTCCGAAGGGCATACAATAGTTCACAGTATCTGGAGCACAAATGCCTTGCATTGGCTGCTGTAGAAGTGCCAGGGGAATGCCTGTTCTCTCTTTCAGGTGATAGTTTGTATTTGCACAAGATAATGCTGCCTGTTTCTTATTTGTATTTCTCCCCCTGAGCATGTAAGTGGCTCCCCTTGGTGCTGTGCTGGCAGGCAGCTGGGCTAGCTTCCAGTGGCCCATAGTTTCTGGAGCCAATCAGAAGGTGGAGTCTGGAGCATTCATTCCCCAGGAGTGGGGTGCGCCCCCACCTGGCAAGCCCCTGACTGGCCTCCACCCATTGCGGCTGCCCCAGTGTGGCTCTCCTCCAACCCCTCAAAAGACTGCCTCTGCGATGCAGAGCCCCTGGTCCAGCTGCACCACCGCCGCCTTTTCCTTCATCTCTAAGCAGCTGCTTGTTCTTTCTTGCCATGGCCAGGTGGGTCCAAGGCAGCCGCAAAACCTGGCAAAGCCATTCCCAGACTTTGGCCTGTTGGAGCACTGCTTCAGCCCTGGCAGGGGCCGAGGGGGGCCTGGCTGGGGTGCTGCAGGACTCACTCGGGCTCTGCTGCTGCGCTAGTGTAATGAAGACTTCAACCCTGCACCTCTGACAAACTCCGCACCTCCTGTTGCCGTTTGGGAAAAGATGTTGTTGAAGCGAACTACTGGAATCTGAGATCAATACACATCAGCTCTGTTTGCGAAGAACACGCACTGCCTCCCCATTCCTAGTGACAGGGCAGCGCAGTTGGAGCCATGACCAGGAGACTGAAAGGAAAAGATGACTCTGCTCAGAGGACAGATCTCCATAGGGTTGGCTGAGATCCTTGTGCCTGTACTACAAAGGGGACTGTGGCTTTGTTCTGCTTGGGTTCTGCAGCATGTTGCAATTTGGCTTGCCTTTGCTGGGTAGTGTGTGTTTTTTGTTTTGTTTTGTTTTTTTTATCAAATATTCTGAGAGAGAAACGGGTTTCTCGACTGTTGGTCACATGTCACTGACTCAGCCCTAAGCAGTGAGCACAAGTGACTAAAACATATTTCTGATTTAGTTGGGATTGGTCCTGCCTAGGGTGGGGGGCTGGACTTGATGGCCTCCTGAGGTCTCCAGCTCTATGATTCTATGAGCCAACAGGGTCCCTGCACAAAGCACTTTCTAGTCTTTAGAGAATGATAGGGAAAAATGCCGAACAGATAAACTTAGCAACTCTTCAGTTTAGTTCTGATTCACCTAGCTGTAGGTACACCAGAGAGAATCTGGTTTCCTCTAGGCTTTACTGCTAGGAACTCTGCTGAATGGATCTCAGTTGGAAATCCCAGTGCCAGAGCCACTGGGAGCTGTACTGCACCCAGGATGTGCTAGGAGTTGACTTCTCTAGTCTAGTTGGTAGAGCAGTGTTGAACTGTTCCAGCTGTAAATTGATCTGTCCTAACCAAGCAATTTGTAGCAGTTCAGACTGAGCAGGTCTCAGCTCAAAGTCCTCTTTCCTGCTGGACTGATAAAATCATGACAAAGAAACTCAAGCCAAACAGCTGAGATGGAAGGAGAGTTCGGAGCTGTCTTCTCGAGCCCCGTCCAAGTTTGGGAAAAACTCAGACCTTGCAAAGAGCGTGTTTGGCTGTGAGCCTGTCTTCAGAAAGTCCCACACTGGACTAGCACTTCATTTCTGCAATACCAGATGGACCAGACACATCCTCATATGGCGGGCATTTGTTTTCCTGTCCCCTTCCACCCAGCTCACATTGTGCAATAGAATGAGGTCCTGTGCTGTTGTTGCAACCAGGTCATCATGCAGATTGAGGTTAAAGAACATTGTATCTGAAGTCTGAAGGAGAAGCTGAATCTCTTGGGGTTTGTTTTCACTGTCCAAAACCACTCTTTACTGGACTGCAAAACAGCCTTCGAAACTATTGCATTGGCATGAGTTTTGCCAATATTCTCCATGGTTTCCCCAATAATGCCATCTAGTGTTAAATACCCTGATCTTAGGTGCACTACTCCCAGCCTGCTTCTGTACCTTATGTCCCACAAAGACCTCACAACCTCTTCCCCCTCTGCACCCCGCCTCCCTTCCAGATCCTGCAGCCCATGCCTATCCCACTCGCTGGCAGCCCTGTCTCACACACTTAGCCCCTCATTTTTGTCCCTACTCCAGAGCCGCGGGGTGGAGGGGAGGGAAGAGGGGTGTTCCATAAAATCCATTAACTCCGGAAGTCCACAAAAGTAAATTGGCCTCTGGGAAACCCTGAATCTCAGTCATCCCTGTCCCGTCCCCTCACCCCATGAGGTTGGAGCGTCAGAGGAGTGAGGTTTCTCAGTTGGGGGCCACATCAGTGAGGATTGGGGATTTTTGGAGACTTTTTTTGTTTCTCACTTGTGGGGTCTCCAACTGATTTTTGTGTCAGTGGCACCTGACCCAAAAAAGGTTCCCTACCCTCACCATAAATATAGAAAACACTAAAACCTTTTGAGTTGGACATATATTAATCTTTTACTTTATTTAAAATGAAGTTTGATAAACTAACATGAGAAGGTTAAAATGCTTAATCTGTTTAATAATTTAAGGTAAACTATTCTCTGTAGCTGCAGCACTAGCAGAATGGCTCGGGTATAATTATGTAATTAATGGTGAGTTTCCATTAGCAACTGATGGTCTGCAGAAAGATTTACATTGAGCCAGATGGTCCGCAAGCCAAAAAGTTTGAGAACCACTGAAATAGAGGCACCTCCAGCGTCTTCCCCACTGAGAGACAGTTGTAGGCTCCTTGCTGCTCCACAAAAGCTCAGAGAGAGTTTGGGTCTGTTCCCACGGGGGTGAAATCACCGGGTCACTCCAGTGTGGATGATGGACAGACTCTTTGTGAAGTGGGCCTCATCCTCCTTGATTGGATCCACCTCGTCATCTCCAGCCTGATTCTGGCCTGCATATTTATACCTGGGCCTCTGGAAAGTTCCACTACATGCATCTGACGAAGTGGGTCTTTGCCCACGAAAGTTTATGCTCCTACACTTCAGTTAGTCTATAAGGTGCCACAGGACTCCTCGCCGCTTTTGCAGATTCAGACTAACACGGTTACCCCTCTGATACTTCCTCATCCAAGCAGTTGATGATTTATACAGCGTGATAAGATGTTGTTGTGACTTATGTTTCAGGGTAAACAAACCCTTTGTGAGCTCTGTGAAGAGGTGAGATGTTTTGACTTCCATTTTCAAGGGATTTGGTTTTCTGTTTTGGGGATGCATGTTGCCTAGATCTCAATGGAGTTAGCTGTGACAACACATTTCTGAGTTATTCTGACATGTAAAGTGAAACCTGTGCTAAAGACCCCACGTCCAGTGAGAGAACGTGTTGCTGTCGGAAGAGTCAATTCAAAGTTCCTCCAGTTTTCTTCACAGATCACCTCTATCGGGCAGCGGAGCTTTTACCCTTAGTCACCCTTCAAAAATATATGGGACTGAGCAGTATGTCTAGAATACAGGCTTCTGTCGACAAAGAGCATCTAGACTACATCCAGTTCTGTTGACAAAGCAAGCCACTTTGTGGACATGAAAGTGTAGACGCAAAGGACAGTGTAGATGCAATAACTCCTTCTGTCGATAGAACTCTGTCGACAAAAGGCATTATTCCTCATAGAATGAAGTTTACTGCCGTCGACAAAACTGCCGAGGTCTGTCGACATTATGTTGACAGAACTTGGCGGTAGTGTAGATGCAGATATAGTTTTGTTGACTAAAGTCCACTTTTGTCAATAAAGCCCTGTAGTCCAGATACACCCTAAATGTTAACTGGATCTTCTTGGGTTATGTCAACAGATTGTTTTGGGCGCAATACAAGCTTGAAGTATAAATTTCATCAGGCCCTTGGTAAGCAGGTTGGGAAGTGGGCTCCTTTGGCAATTGTTAGGGATGGTTTTCCAGTAACTTCAAAAAACGCAGTTGCAGGCATCTCACTAGGGATGTAAATGCACTCCCCATCGAAAGAGGCTGCTCCAGACACTGGTGCAGTCCCTGCCTATGGGATCCCCAAATCCCTCACAGAAAGGGGCTGCTCAATATGAGAGCAAACCCTGTCTGCAGCAAGCGGGGAGCTGCTCCAATCCCCTTAAATTCCCAGTTAATTGGAACTGGCAAGTATCGTCTGTTAAGAGGGCTAAGGAAGTTGTCCCATGAAATCGTGGGATAGTTCTGGATGACTCTCAGGCCATGAATCAAATGGGGCTGCATCTACACAGCCAAGTAATCTGATCTTTGCATGGTGTCAGGTATCAGAGGGGTAACCATGTTGGTCTCGATCTGCAAAAGCGACGAGCAATCCTGTGGCACCTTGTAGACTAACTGATTTATTGGAGTATAAGCTTTCGTGTCGCATCTGACGAAGCGGCTCTTTGCCTACGAAAACTTACGCTCCAGTAAATCTGTTAGTCTATAAGATGCCACAGGACTCCTTGTCACTAATAGGATCCTGGATCTCATCTTGAATCGAGGTTGGATCCTTAGCGCTGGAGTGTCCCGGGCCCCAAGGTTTGGGGCCTGGATTAATGCAATTTCAGTATAGTTGCATGAGGGGCTCCTGTGGGGCCCCAACCCATCCCTGTTGGTAGAAGACTGTGGGAGGAGTCCTCAGAAAGGTCACAAGATCCTTTACTTCCAGTCACGTGTCTGTCTTGATCCTAGAAGTACTACCCGTGCAAATGGGATTTCCTGTGGCAGGTGGGCAGGGCATAAGGAGTGTGGGGCATGGCTAATGGGATCGGGGGCAGGGCTAATGTGTCCCCATTTTTGGTTCAGAATATATGGTCACTGTATTTAGAGCCCTTTGTTGCCTTTAACGACAGCTGTGCCACGGTATGGTTATAGACGAAGATGCCCCTGTAGGAAAGGGAAAGCCTGTCCATCAGCTTAGCTGTCCATCTCTACAAGAGGTGCTGGTTGTGTTGATGAGAGAAGTTCTCTTGTTGTCATAGCATGGTTTCCATGGGGGGTTAGGCCAGTATAACTGTCACCCAGAAGGATGAATTTTTCACACCCCTGAGCGACAAAGTGACACTGACCCATGTGTGTAGTGTCGACCCAGCCTTAGCGTTCCTGGGTCCGATAGTTTTAAGTGGATCCCTTTTTCAGTGGTTTGTCTCCACCTGCTGCTTGAAAGAAACCATGTTCCATCTTTCAGGGCTGATAACTAGTTCTTTGCTCACTTGAGTAACAAACTTGAATCTTTTTTCTTTAGGTACAGAATGATTGGACCAGCTTCTGCTCGTTGTGTGATTAGTGGAAGTGGAGTTGATTGGGATAAGGAGGTTCCATTTTGCGAAAGTAAGCTGATTTAATGTTTTAAAAACAGTTCATGTCTGGGGATGGGGGAGTGTAGCTGGCACTATCGTGGAGTCAGTCTGTTCTCACTTTGACATTTAATCTAAACGACAGTAAAACTTGGTTCTTTTTTGAGGACTGTCCCTGTGGGTGCTCCACCTTAGGTGCTTCGGCGCTGCTGAGTCCAGGACGGAGATCTTTTACAGCAGTATCCTTGGCCGGCCACACGCGCAGTGAACTGGTGTGTGTTCTATGCTGGCTACTGTGCATGCGCAACTGGCCCTTCTCCTCCTCCCTAGCTCCTCAGTTCCATCTCTACCACCGCTGGCTACATCACAGCTCCAGCAGTCTCCCTCATAGCCTTATCTTATCTAGTCTGTAAATAGTTACCTTAGCATTTAGTCATATAACTTTAGTCAGTAGTGAGTAGTCAACGTTTAGATAGTTTAGTTTAAAAAAACAAAACAAAAACCAAACCACAGACGGAGAGAGAAGTGGCGGGAAGCCACTTCTCTGAGCCAGCCTTCCGTCAGCTCCTTTGGGATATGCCGGGTTCATCTGGCTTCAAGTGCTGCTCTGCTTGTAAAGCAGCCATACCTGTCTCGGAGAGACATGACCAGTGCCCCTGCTGTCTAGGGCAGCACCAACTGACTGAAAGCTGCCCTTGCTGTCAGCAGCTGAGAA